ACGATGTAAACACGTTGTAATTTAGCTTTTTGCTATTGAACGTGTATTAATAAACCCACTATTATTATTATTATAATATGGAATCGGCTCATGCACTAATTTAGCTGGTCGTTTTGGGAACAATTAACTCTAGCTTGGACTAATGATTTACCTTATTATTATTATTATTAATTGAAATTTATATTGCGCCAGTTCCATATATGTATATGCTCACTTGCGCATTACAAGATAATCAACTAATCTGTAAAAGTATGAAAAATATTTATAATATAGCATTTGTAAATTCTGAACGCTGATTGGCTAAGAGCCGTGTTGATATAACTCAATGTCAACACGGAAACGTCGGAAAATTTCTTTCTTTTATTTCTTTGTGCTATATTATAAACAAATGTAAAACATTTTTTCCGTATTGATATATAGTTATATCAACACTCGTGGAAATTGGGAAAACTCGAAATTGTATGAAAACACTCCGCCCTTCGGGCGTCATGTTTCCACACAATTTCTCGTTTTCCCAATTCCACTCGTGTTGATATCACTCTATATCAACACGGAAAATGTTTTATATTTGTTAAATATAACAATCGGCAAATAAAATTGTTAATAAAATGCTTGCTTGAAAAAGTATGTCTTTAAGAGTTTTTTAAAACTATCAACGGTCTTCGCGTGCCGTATTTCTGCAGCTAGCTTGTTCCAAAGTGTAGGTGCAGCAAAGGACATATCATGCACCGAGAGTATCTAATTCACTTTGGGTTTCTGAAGGAGTAGTCCAGAATCTGATCTGGGATTGTACCCTGATTTAGGCTTGATCATGATGATATCAGTGATATACTGTGGCGCCATGCATGTGTGAACTCTATACATTTATATTGGACTTTTTTTCCTTGTCGAACCCCTTGTGGCAACACGCTTGGAACACGTACTATTTACCTTGGCGCCGTCAAACACTTATGCACCAAATGAACATCTGCTTAATTCCAAAACTCCTTCATAAACGTCTTCGCGCGGTTGTATTGTTTAGTATTGTCTGCTGCATCATAGAACAATTAGTCCACAAGACATTTTATCCGAAGATGGATTTACAAATTTACACCCAGTTGATATTCTTGTGCGTTGCCAACATCATCTTCACTTTCTCCGGAGTAGTTTTGAACACATTGGTGATAGCCAGTCTTTGGAAGTCGTCACAACATCGAAAGAAATTATGTAATTTCATGATCATGGTGTTGTCGTCTTTCGATTTCTTGGCGGTTATAACAAGTCATCCAGTATTTGCGCTTTATCTGGCCGTTTGGTCGACTGAGAACTATGATTTATTACACAAGATGGAGATTTACGCGCATTTTGCTTCATTATTTCCTGGATTTTCTTTTGTCACATTGCTGGTGATGAGCTTTGAACGATATCTTGGAGCGTATTATCCCATTTTCCATCGGTCATCAGTAACCAGACGCCTACTGCTAACACTCATTGCAATAGTAGTTGTTCTGCATGCTACACTAATTATAATTTCTGCGAACGACTGGGTGACATCTGCAGCAGTGGTTACAATAGTTTTCATGGCCATTGTATTCCCACCATTCTTGTTCATCAACTACAAATTGTTTAAAATTTCTAGAAAAGTCCGTCGGATCAACGCAATTTTACCAGAGAAAAGAACAACAATAAATTTGAAAAACATCAATACTTGTTTGCTTGCCGTTGCTTGTCTTATAATATTATCTATTCCACTCACTTTCTTCGTTGTATTTAGTCTTGTCGAGAAATCAACGACGACCAATGCAAGGTTATGTTACGTTTGGGCATGTAGTGTATTTAGTATGAATAGTACATGTAACAGTTTGATCTTTTTCTGGAAGAATAAAGTTTTACGTACAGAAGGACTAAAGATACTAAAGACGTTGAAAGATCGTACTTTGGGATCCCAAGCATCACAATGAAGCCTTTACTAACAACGGACAATTTCATGCAGGGACAATAATTTAGTTACCTTAAAATCCTATATTATGGAACCGGTTCTAACTGGATCTTTGTGATAAGCTATCTCAATCTGCCGTGTCTGACTCAAACAATAGAATTCATAATTTGTTACCAGATAGGAATGAATTTAGTTACAATTTAAGGCATGAATTAAAGAACGTTCAATATTCCTATGACTCATACAAATAGGGTGGAAGACTCTTTTATATACATGCAATGTGTAAAAAGGTCAACAATAGTTAACATCCTTTCCTTGAATTTTTAGAACAGTTAAGATTTAAAATATTTTTACTAATCTTTATATAAGATATCTTTTGGGTAAGTGGCATATAATTGTGATATCGTGATCTTAGCTCAGCATTAATTCTAATCATTACATAATTCGGCCTTCATGGCTGCAAGGTAATTTCAGTTACACACTTACTTACTTACTTACTTATAGGTTCCGCAGCGTTGAAGAGACAGCTCAAGCGGTGTGTGAAGATATACTACTGATAAGCTATCTCAATCTGCCGTGTCTGACTCAAACAATAGAATTCATAATTTGTTACCAGATAGGAATGAATTTAGTTACAATTTAAGGCATGAATTAAAGAACGTTCAATATTCCTATATGACTCATACAAATAGGGTGGAAGACTCTTTTATATACATGCAATGTGTAAAAAGGTCAACAATAGTTAACATCCTTTCCTTGAATTTTTAGAACAGTTAAGATTTAAAATATTTTTACTAATCTTTATATAAGATATCTTTTGGGTAAGTAGCATATAATTTAGGCTCAGATTCCAGCCGTTGTGCGAGTGGCGAGAACACAACGGCTAGAATCTGAGCCTACATATAATTGTGATATCGTGATCTTAGCTCAGTATTAATTCTAATAATTACATAATTCGGCCTTCATGGCTGCAAGGTAATTTCAGTTAAATACACACTTACTTACTTACTTACTTACTTACTTATAGGTTCCGCAGCGTTGAAGAGACAGCTCAAGCGGTATGTGAAAGATATACTACTATATTAGGCGCTATCTTGGTTGATTTTAAAGTTTTGTCCAGCCGTTTACAGCGAAGTAGTTGAGTCATTTTAATATTTTTGGTTTGTCTTGAAAACATCTTACTGTATTATGGATAGTTTACGATTTCTGGCACAATACGACAAAGAATGAAGAATATAGATTTTTAGTTGCCACGAAAATCAACCAAGATGGCGTCGATTGCAAACGAGCAAGAGTTGTTTATCCTTCATGCACACCGAAATATTTTAATATTTTGAAATTTTTCCTTTAATAATTTGAACTGATATAACAATCAATTATATATTTTATTATTTCCTTCGCTCTTAAATTTCGTCCATGAAATGTGAGAAACTTGCATGGATTGAAAATGTGATGCTTACTCGTTCAGCTGCTCGGTTTGAAAAATAATTTAGTATGTTTAACATGCACTTCTTAATGTGTTGACAATCGGCTCCTTTCATGAACTTTTATGCAGCCGTTCATGAGCGTGAGAGAGTCATGGCAACATTCAAATGTTTGGGGAAGCATCAACATGCAAAAGTTTCAACATGCAGCAAGCCATGATCAACATCAGTGCCACAATAATGCATTTGATGGAAAGTCGAGTCTTCGGCTCGAAATCTTTGAAATAATAAATAGACGTGATGTTTCCACAAACCAGAACAAATCTTTGTACTTCCCCATGGGAACGTACATTCTAAAATATCCTGGTTAAGAATTTCCTGCATGACAATCTAAAATTAACCCTGTAGTTGGGGTAACTTAATTTTAAAATTCCTGGTTAAAATTTAACCACAATCCTGGTTATCATAGTGCTAATTTAACCTGGCATTCCTGCACCACCTTAACAATCTACCACATAATATAGCCTGGATAAATTAACAATATTGAGCAATTTTTGATATCCTGTAAAATATTATTTTATGTTGTAATGTAATACTACACAGTTGTGTTAATTAAGTCGGCATATAGCGAAATATGAGAGACCTTGGCAGAGTAAGTATAGACACAGAGAGAGAACGTCGCGCATGTAGAGTTGTAGAAATAAATTGAAAAGAAACCAATCGTGTGATGTTATTGTGTTTCGATACGTTACAAGTGGTGGCAGCGGTAAAACAAAACTATATTATAGAGCAACAAAGTACTCAATGGCAGCCAGCATTCTTCCAACAAAATTTGACGGAGACGATGTTGCTACATGGTTTGAGAGAGTTTGATGCATGCGCCTTAGCTTACGAGCGACTAGACTCACTTCTACGCGATACCAGACGCTGAGAAAGCTACATACGACCCCCCGTAACGAAAAAACTGAAAGAAGTATTGTGCCTACGTTATCCACATTATCCTCATTGTGACGTCACATTACATGATAACTTTCTCAAAACCTTCAAGATCTTGGCGGATACCGTGTATTGAAATATAAAACAGTGCATATATATGTGTTATGTCAACGTATACAACAAATATATATTATATATTTTATACATATTCGTGGTATTTTCCACAAACGAAAAAGCAAAACGAATATAAATTTCAATTACATAGGATATATTTCCCTGTCATCATTTACGAATTTGTTCGTTGAACTAATTGTTTAATTAAAATTTAAAATTTCTATCATTCCCAGCCATATTTACAATTGATTAATATATTTCATAATATTAAGACTGTTTTCTACCAGTGAATAAAAACATTTTTGTAAATCTAAGATTCAAGGAAACGTAATGTTAATATGAACGGTTCAATGGTTAATTTGAAATTATAGTGTCTTCAAGATTTAAATAATCGACGAATACTGTGATTTATAACCGATGCAGCATTTAATTCCAAAAGATTTCTTTTCGACGGAATTATTCACCGTTTGTTCTAAAAACTAATATAGTATATTGCATAATACAATATACTGCATAATATATATATATATATATATATATATATATATATATATATATATATATATATATATATATATATATATATATATATATATATATATATATATATATATATTACCTGATCGTGTAGCTCATATATATTATGCAGTAAATTAGTTCTCTGTGTTGTATTTTATCATTGTGCTGTAGCAAGCTCAATGCCACTCTGTATAAATGTCGGATCAACTTTTTATCGTCCAACTCTGGGGTGGACTCCTGGGTCCTTTAGGCTTTGGCACCCTCTTCCCATAACCTGCAAATACAGTTTAGACCAAAACGGTGACAAACAAGAATAAACGTTTTCCAAGAAAGCGTCACAATTTCGTTTCAATTGCAGTACAATGGGCTAATCACGCATTCGGTCTAGAGAAGACAAATTTCAGCTAATTTCCCATCCAAATTTAACCAACATTTAATCAACTTGTCCTTGGTAAAGTTTCTTGGACAAGTTAGACCCCAGAAAGACCACAAAACATTTCAAAACTTACCTATATCTTCTAACACGGTTCCTTTAATAAATTCAGGCCTTCTTGACAAAAAAGGTATCTGTAAAGTATGAAAAAATGCAGCATAAACAAATACTGTAGAAAAATATACAGAAAAACTATTGAAATAAACGTATTGTTAGAATTTGAATGCCTCACCACACGTGCATCAAAGCTTGACATAAGTAAATTTTATGCATAAAGAACCGTTTAAGAAGCCGTTTTAAATACAAACATTTTGTCAAAAAAAGTTATTGCAAAATATGACAAATACATTTCATACCTTATTCGTTAATGATGCAGCTTTGCTTTTTGTCTTCGAATCGTTAGCTGTCTCTATCAACGACAACAAAGTTACAAAAAATTAAAAGGGTTTGGCAGAAGTTGCAAATTTTATGGCATTTGTAACAAATGCAGATGACGATGTAAATCCGGTTTAATTAATAAAGTCTCTAACTAACTAACATGATAGCTGTTTCAATGGACCTTTAACCTTATAACTAAAATTTTGATCTAGACAAGTCTAGACAAAAATTTCATCACAGCTTGAAAGAGCATCACAAAATTAGTCATATTCCGAAGTTGCGTTGCGAAATGTTGTAAAATGCGGATAATATAGCCCTGCGAAGTTTGCAATTTTCAGTCATTTTAGATTACTAACGGGAAATTGATACCCAAACACCCGATTTGGGTATCAATTTCCCGTTTGTAATCTAAAATGACTGAAAATTGCAAACTTCGCAGGGCTATATTATCCGCATTTTACAACATTTCGTAACGAAACTTTGGAATATTACTATAATTTTGTGATGCTCTTTCAAGCTGTGATGAAATTTTTGTCTAGATCAAAATTTTAGTTATAAGGTTAAAGGTCCATTATGTTCTTCCGGAAGCCTTGGCCATTAACAAACGAGGAATTTGATGAGAGTTGATAACAGTTAACAACAGCTAGTCGTAACTCTCGCACGACTCCAATATGCTCGCATCAACTGCATGGTTCAAATTTTCCACTACACGCGCGCGGTAATACCCACTCAACTCTCGTTACCTCTCACGCAACTCTTGTTCTCGTTTGACCGGGGCATGAGAGTTGAGTTTCAACAACTCCTATGCTCTCATTTACAACAAGGATTTTCGAGTGATTTTCTCGTTTTGTTTCGCCAGGGGTGGGAAAAGTATCGGACCACGAGTTCAACGGTCGCAGAATTCATTTGAATCAGAGGAAAATTCTAACCAATAGAAAGAATGTTATCTGTACTGTAGGTACAAGTGCATCCATCTTATATCGACGCAATAGACTATATAGAATGATGTAACAAATGTTGTATGGCAAATGCATTTTCAGCCAATCTGGGACAGTTGATTTTCAAAATTTCAGTCTCGGGGAGCATGCCCCTTAGTAGTTCCCATTTTTGGCATCTGTATTTACCTTAGGATAAGGCCCTTGATGCATGTTACCTAAATTAGTTTTACGTTATATTCCTAAAAGTATATTTATTAAGATTCTCAGTGCACTGAAATAAGTTATTCTGTTAAAATATAGCATGACATTATCTTGTTAGTGCATGTCACACAGTTACATTGTCCGCGTGTCAATTTACTTGATTATTTGCAGACAATTTTTAATGTTCTCTTGTGGTCCCAGAAGGCAATCCCGTTGTACATGCAATGCAAAATCTATCTCTCTGAGCGGACAAATGAATGTATATGAGCAAAAGATTGTTTACCATGCTGTTCGTCAATAGCAAGAAGTTCAGCGGATTTCTTCGGAATTGCCGGAGCTTTCTCTCCGTCCTAGAGTAAAACATTTGGATGTTCGTAAGTTGCCTGCATCCAGGTTTATTTCATGGTCCAGTGTTAATGCAGGAGGAAGCCTAAACGTTATAGACTTACCGTATTATCTCCTCCTCTGAACGTGTTTTCATTCATCGTTCTTTTACCGCTCTTGCTTTTGTTGTTTACCGAAGCATAAAGACCTGAAATGTAAGAACATCGAATATGTTAATTTTAATGAAATATGATATATCAACTAAATATGACATCTTGTTTCTAAAACTTTCACCTTTGTAGTTCATAATTTATTTCTTATTTTAACAACAGTTGTCGCCTGAAGACGGACATTTAAAATGTTCGAAACGTTGCAAATTTAAATAAATTAACCTTTTGTATATTTCCTCGAGAAATAAAAATAAGAAATAAATTATAAATATGATATGTCAACTAAATAAACTAAACAAACAGGTTGGCTAGTAGTATTTGCACTGGCGCCATATACATCTGGAGCAGGCCAGACCCTTTCTATATTGTTTTTGTCTGCGCGGTCAAAGCAAGGAATGTGCTGAATTTCGTATTTTGACATCGTTTAAAGAATAACACTATACGGTTTTATGAACTGATAACTTGGTTAGCGATACGGTCCGAAAAAACAGGAATTAGCTTGGGGGTTACTAAAACTGTTTACATACATACATACATACATACACACACACACACACACATACATACATAAACTTTATTCAAACACGGAAAAAACCATCAGTACATCAAAACTATTGCTATTTACAATTTGTGAGTATGACAAATAAATACGACAAGTGAGAAAGGAGAGAAGAGATAAAAGGAAAGAGTACTACGACCTTCATAGCTATATTGGACGTCAATCTCCGCTAACTTGGCTTCAATTTTCACTTAAGGCTGTTTTCCACTAGGCGAAATTTTTCGACCGAATCGAAGTTTTCTTTTGTCTTACAAGCACTCAGATGGAACTAATCAGAAATCTTTTGAATTTGAACAATAGAAATTTTGGTTCGATCGAAAAATTTCGCCTAGTGGAAAACCGCCTTTAGTCCCAACTCCGAACGACTCCAAATATATTGTATAAAGCTCAATGACTATATCCTACCAGTTTCCTTCGGGAACAATTTTTCGGCATCTGCAGGATCCATCTCTTCATTTGGCAATACCCTTGCGCGCCTGCCGTCCATGGCTTTTAACTGGTCAGCTAACTTCGCGCCACCACTTGCCCCACAGCTGGAGAACTTCTGTTGCGCATGCGTTGGGGCACGAACATGGAGATCACTCGAGGTGCTCGAAGAACGATGGTAGACGTCTTTGAGCTTTGGACTTTTCTCGGGTGTTGCGGGTCTGCCTGCCCGGTCGGAAAATGGAAACGTGTGTGCCTGAGTTGGCGTCCTTCGACCTGGCACTAAATATTCAATAATAGTTTGCCATAAGATGTAGGGTACGTACACATGTAAAAATCTCAGAACTTTCAACAAGATGCGTTCGCAACAGGCTTGTAGCAAGCTTGTCAACAAGTTGTAATAACAATGCCGTTATTTTATCAAGTTGCTACAAGGTTGTCACTCACAACTTGTTGACAAATTGTTGAATTGCTGGATGATAACAAGTTGTTGGAACAACTTGTAACAAGTCTGTTGAGCTCAACATCCTTGTAGCAAGTTGTCAACAAGTTGTAACAATGCCGTTATTTTATCAAGTTGCTACAAGGCTGTCACTCACAACTTGTTGACAAATTGTTGAATTGCAAGACGATAACAAGTTGTTGGAACAACTTGTAACAAGTCTGTTGAGCTCAACAACCTTGTAGCAAGTTGTCAACAAGCTGGGAACAAGCAGTGCGAACACATCCTGTTGACAAGTTGTTGGAACAACATTGCTACAAGTCTGCTGCAGGTTTGTTAATACAAGTTGTGCGTTTTTACGCGTGTGCGTAACAGTTTATTCAAGGAAAAGTACTCACCCTCAACGTTTTCGTATTTTAATGAAGAATTTGTCACCGTAGTCGGTTTCGCAGGAATCCCAGGACGAGTGCTTGGGGTTGGACGTGGTTGAGGAACTGAAAATTAGCGAAGTTGATTAATTGATAATGTAGAAATTAAGAGATTTCATAAGAAATTACAACAAAAGATATTGTTGTACATGTGGTGAACAACAGGTGGAAAACTCAACGGGGTCCAGAAGGCATTCTTCCATGCCACTTTTTTAAAGAAAAGCCAACTATTTAAAGTGGAAGTCAAGTCCGTTCTGCGCATCGGTTCTGCTCATAACAATGTGAGGACCATGTAAACATTGCCCAAATTTCGAATGTTTCGAATTTTTCTGAACATAAACTCTATTTCATATTCATTTAGAAGTATAGCGAACCAAAATGGTGTTAGATATTCAGACAGTACATCATATTTAAAAAATACAGCAGTTCAAAATGTAAACAAACCGTTTGTTTACATTACGGACTTGACTTCCACTTTAAGTTTACCGATTTCTTGTGCGATTTTCTTCTTCTGGATGTGAACGAGTAAATAAGTTACGAATGTTCAGATGAGGGTACGTCACTAGATAGTGCATCTAATTATTCTGCAATTCAAAAATTGAAGCCGTGATTGCAGACTCGGGATATTCCCATGAAATGAGAAGACTCGTATGTTTTCTATTTCTTAAACAGGGAACTTAAACATTAAGTTAAACCTATTCCAAATACATTTTCAAACTGTCCAAATGATGAAAGTTATTGTTGTTTTTTAAGCGTTTATTAGCGAGTGGGAAACTCCAACATGGTCGCCATCTATTCAAATGGGGTAACCGCTGGAATATTCTTGGCTTCAATTTTACAAAAGAGATGCGCTATATAGTATATATAAGATATCTATGGGGTATACACACACTCAGAACATTCATAACTCATCCACTCGTTCACATCCATCACAGAAGAAGAAAATCGCAGCAAAAATGGCAAGTGTAAACCGGCTTTAAAAAATGGTCCCACCTGGCTGGACATTCTCATATCTTCCAGGAGTTGGAAGTGAATGGCTTCCAGTTTTGGAGGTATCTGCTAAAAAAATAAAAAGCTATATTAAAGATGAATTACAGATCGCGGATCTGTACATTTTGCGTCATCATGGCCAATTATAGTTACGGTTTTCACTCGTTTCCAACCATTAAACTGATGTTACGTCGTTTGATCAATTTCTAAAGTTGATTCTTTTTGGATTTATTTTATTATTTTGGTTAAGGTTAGAGTAAGGGGTTATGGTTGGGGGTTAGATGACACACGTAAAAACGCACAAGTTGTAACAAACCTGCAGCAGATTTGTAGCAATGCTGTTCCAACAACTTGTCAACAGGATGTGTTCGCACTGCTTGTTCCCAGCTTGTTGACAAGTTGTCAACGGCTTGTTGATAACTTGCTACAAGGTTGTTGAGCTCAACAGACTTGTTACAAGTTGTTCCAACAACTTGTTATCGTCCTGCAATTCAACAATTTGTCAACAAGTTGTGAGTGACAAGCTTGTAGCAACTTGATAAAATAACAGCATTGTTACAACTTGTTGACAAGCTTGCTACAAGCCTGTTGTGAACACATCTTGTTGACAAGTTGTGAGATTTTTACGTGTGTAGGGTTGGGTTTGGGTTAGTTACATAGCCATTTAACATCTCTTCCATCTAATTCCGAAAATGAAGTCACGTTAGTTTGGTAAATGGAAACAAGTGCTGACCGTGATAGTCATGCTCGAAATAGCCAATCAGAGGTTTATAGTGAATACAAAGCTCCGATCAAACACAAATGAGAGTTGACGAGAGTTGGCTTTAACAAAATAAAGGTTTGATGAATGTTCCAATTATGTTTTTAACTTAAACAGAATACATACATGATAGTGTTGGGAAAGCATTAAGAACCAAGATCGCGTGACTGACAACTCTCATCCACTCTTATCCTCATTTGATCCGAGTTTAGGGACCGGTCATTATTTATGGCGAGGGCTAGCACCGAAGAGAAAATGGTTGGGTAAACTAAATTTTGAGTAAGTAAAAGGTTGGGCAAATGGAAAACAAAACAACTCAAGGGTTGGGTAATAAAAAGTTATAGTCATATGTCAATACAATATGTGAATCAATCAGTCACTGTCTTGATCATTTTCCAATTTGTTAGAAGACAAATGGTGTCTCCAAAGAAAGCACATGTGCAGACAACATGATACATTAGACTACAGTAAATTTCACAAGCAGTTATCAAACATCTGTCGCAGAAATCGGGTAAAGGACATATGTGACAACTGAATGGTAACCTTTTGTAAAGTTTAATTTTGGCCAGGGGTGGGTATTTATTTTTTACTTGATATTTGAGGTTGGGTAATCACATTTTTGACTTTTTAATGGTTGGGTCAGCAAAATTTTTGCCACGAAAAACATTTCTCTTCGGTGCCACCCCCCACCATAAATAATGACCGGTCCCTTAAGTACACACAATCTTGAACAGTGTGTGTCAGTGTAAGTACTGACGATAATAAGAAAGCTCTGGATGGATAGGGATACAACTACCTGAAAAATACAAGGAGAACTTCGACGTTCCGAGCGAAGGCTCTTCGTCGTGAAGTTAGTAGCGGGGATCGTATTAGGGAGCTTAAGATGCACCACGACGCGGACACGACTAAAAAACAGACGCAATAATGGGAGACTAGTTTTACTTTGTTTTTCTCGTGTCCCTGGCTTCGTTTACCAACAGCCATCCATAGTTTTTACCCGTGAAGTGAAACTGCGATAATAGCGGCAGTTTTTCGTCACGTCATCGTAGATTTGGTGTATCTTAAGCTCGCTACTAACTTCTCGATGACGGGCCTTCGCTCGCAACGTTCAGCTTGTATTATTCAGGTAGTTGTATCCCAATCAATCCACAGCGTTCTTCAATACACAAACCTCGTGGAGGGACGACAACGTATTCCGATGACGAATCATCAGAATTATTTCGTGATTTGTCCACTACGACATAATCTGGAGATGAAGTCTGTCTGGAGACAGGAAGTTTTCCACCCCGACCATTGAATACATCATTGCGAGCATTCGCGTTGTTTGGTTTCACCACACCGTTCGACGGCGGCGTCTTATCGTCAGAAAGGTCGATTAAGTCGAAAGCAACATTGACGTAATTGTCGCTGGGATGTTGTTGAGAGACTTGGCCAACACGTTTTGGGTGCGGGCCTGAATGCGATCCCTGCGGTACACCATCTTTATAAAAATAATGTAAATAACAATATAAATAGAATTGCGAATATTTAGTCAAGTTAAGCTATCGGTGGCATATATTGTTATCACTATAGTCAAGAAGTAGTAATTTATACAGTTTGCATGAGCAGCAGTA